GCTGCTTGGGAGCCTGAGGCAAGAGAATCGCTTAAGCCTACGAGTTTGAGGTTGCTGTGAGCTGTGACGCCACAACACTCTACCAAGGGCAACATAATGAGACTCTGTCTCAATAAAAAAAAAAAATAGTCTCCAAACTTGGTTGATTATCAGAACAGATGGCCTGGAGACTGTTTTCAAAAAGCACAATCCCTGATTCAGTATATCTGAGGTTGGGTTTAGGCATCTATAATTTTTAAAAAATCAGCTGATGATCAGGAGTTTAGTTTCATATTGCTTGCTTTAGAGTTTAAGGAAATGAGTTATAGAAAAGTCTTTTTTTTTTTTTTTTTGGTCTTAAAAAGTGAAAGCCATTGAGAGAGGGACTGTGTATATCCGTGTTGGGGAGGTACGTGTAGGGGAGATGAGCAGACTAATAGGAAAGCAAGTAACTGTAGTACAAGGTGATCTGTGGTGTGCCATGAAGATGACTCCAAGTGCAAGAGGTTTCAGAGAAGAGAAAAAACATATTCCAATTACTGGGACCAGAAAGGTAGAGATGGTAAGAGACTGTTAGGGAAGGGCATCCTTTGGGATGAGGTTTTAGCAGAGTTAATGGCACACCCATGATAATGATATGTTATATAAGTGGCATTATAGAGGTCCACATAATTTTCAGAAATGACATTAGGAAGGTTGACCACATTATGAAGTACATTGAAGGTGGCACTCATGGCTCATGGTGGCGGGTTCGAACCCAGCCCCAGCCAAACTACAACAAAAAATAGCCAGGCGTTGTGGCAGGTGCCTGTAGTCCCAGCTGGCTGCTTGGGAGGCTGAGGCAAGAGAATAGCCTAAGCCCAGGAGTTGGAGGTTGCTGTGACCTGTGATGCCACAGCATTCTACTGAGGGCAATAAAGTGAGACTCTGTCTCTTAAAAAAAAAAAAAAACAAATACTGTCTCAGTATTCAATTCAAGTACATTGAATACTGAGTTGAGTTGTGTCTCCTTAGTAGGCAAGAAGCGACCAAAGAAGAAAAGTTACCAGAAAACTTGGCTTTAGTTTAGGAAGACTAAGCAGGGCAGGAAAACATAAGCAGGAAAATAGAAAATTAATCAAGACTTTTGCAAGAATCTAGATGAAAGTAATGAGCTCTTGAATGATAGTAGAAATGAGAAAGGCAGGATATACACTTACCAACTGCAGTTAGAGCGTGGGATGAATTGAAGGTGGTCTCTCCTCCAGCTTCTATGTTAAAGCCGGCCATAGCAAGTGCCCGTGAAATGTCTGTTAAATTGCAGAATGTCAGAGTTTTCTACTTGGATAACAGGGAACATATGGTGGTGTCATTTATAGAAATAAAGAGGAAGAGCTAATTGGGGTGAAAAGATAATCAATTTGGTTTTAAATACCTAAAGTCTAAAGTATCAAAACATTCATTCTTGGCTGGTCTGAGGGCAGTGGCATTTACATCTAATTGATCACAACCAGTTATAGATTCCTTTGTTCCTTCTCCACTCGCACTGCTTTACCTGACTTAGGTTTAGGAGAAAAAAGACATTCATCCTTACTCCATAATTAAGCTCTATAAAGCTGTAGTCTTAAACATTAAGTTCCTTCTGTCCTTGTTCCTTCTTATTTTATACATGTGACTTTCAGAAAATATTTAAACTGTTAAAATAGAAAAGTCAGTTTTCCATTGTAAAGAACTTATGTATAAAGCTAAAATATGAATTGATTTTTGTTGTGGCACAGGTGGGAACAAGAGCCCAGTCAGAGAGAATCCGGACATACAATTTCACACAGGATAGAGTCACTGACCACAGAATAGCATATGAAGTTCGTGATATTAAGGTAATATTACTGAGGATGCTTTGTGTACCTTTGTTTTTAAGAGAAAACATAGTCAAATTCTAGAGCAGTGGTTCTCAAGCGGTGGGTTGCGACCCCTTTGTAACAATGAAAATACATTGTGGCATTAGGAAGGTTGAGAACCACTGTTCTAGAGAGTTATATCTAGAATATTACCAAGTAGGCTTGGCACCTATAGCCCAGAGGTTAGGGCGCCAGCCACATATACTGGGGCTGGCAGGTTCGAACCCTGCCCAGGCCTGCTAAACAACAATGACCACAACAACAACATTAAAAAAAAAAAAAAAATAGCCAGGCACTGTGGCAGGTGCCTGTAGTCCCAGCTACTTAGGAGACTGAGGCAAGAGAATCGCTTGCGCCCAAGAGTTTGAGGTTGTTGTGAGCTGTGATACCACGGCACTCTACTGAGGGTGACATATTGAGACTCTGTCTCAAAAATAAATATTACCAATTTAAAGTAATTTAAATTGTATAAGTAATAAGTAATTTAAAATCATTAATTAGGCCACCTTATGTTGGTACCCCCAAATTTGCAAATATTTTTATTAGTTTGTTGCTAAGAAAAATAATCTTTATGCCAGTTTGAAATAGTTATCTTTTAAAAATTCCAAATTCTTTGTTATATGGTCACAATGTATTAACATATATTCAGTCTACGTATATACACATGTGTAGTTTTCTATTGGTAGGTTAACAGATTACCACAAATGTAGTAGCTTAAAACAATACCCACTTTTTAGCTCATCCTTTCTCAAAGTCACCTATCTGGGCACAACTGAACTCAGTAATCTGCTCAGGGTCTCCCAAGTCTGAAACCAAAGTATGGCATACTTTTCTGGAGCTCATAATCCTTCTGGAGCTGAGGGTCCTCTTCCAAGCTCATGTGGTTGTCAGGAGAATGTCATCATCTTGAATTGTAGGACTGAAGCCCCCCCACACCCCGGCTGGCATTCAGCTGGGAATCTGCCTTCAGCTTCTGAATACTGCAGGAAGATGCTTCCCGTGTGGCTTAATCCAGAAACCCTCTCTCCCACTTTGAATCTCTTTCTTCAGGAGTGAGTCAGGCTTTTAAGGGCCCACCTGGATAATGTTTCTTTTGATTAACTCAAAGTCAAGGGATCAGTCACCTAAGCCCTGGAGTGATATTCCATTATATTCATAGGTTCTGTCTGAATTTATAGGAGGAAATTATACAAAATATGTACACCAGGGGGCATCTGGTGTACATATTCTGCCTACACAATCTGTGTGTTTGTTAGATTCAGGTTCTACAATTATGCGACTGAGGAAAAGACCCTGTCAAGATTGTTTGAACATTAACCTCCCTAAGTGCCATCTAGCCAGGACCACTGACAATAGCACATTAATGATGAAGCACAGAAAAACTTCTCTTTCATTGCCACTGAAGGAGGCAGTAAACTGATTCCCAACAAAGAGTGTGGAAAAGGCAGGAGAAAGTTCTGATCCTTTTCCTTGATGCCGTATGATACCTAATGCTTCTTTCATCAGTTGATTCTGTCCCAGTCTATACTCAAAATGAAGTCTTAGTTTTACAAGAGAAATGCTTATGTTTTAAATACGTTTATAAATTTCTGTATATCTTATGCCACGTCGTCAGCAGTATAAGGCTATCTTACATAGAAACATTAATATCTGTGGCTGGGCACAGTGGCCTGTAATCCTAGCACTCTGAGAGGCCCATGTGGGTGGATTGTTTGATGCTCAGGAGTTCAAGACCAGTGAGACCCCATCTCTACTAAAAATAGAGATTAGCCGGCTATAGTGGCACATGCCCATAGTCTAGCCACTTAGAAGGCTGAGGCAAGTGACTCTTGAGCTGTGAACTATGACACAAGGCACTCTACCCAGGGCGAAAGAGTGAGACTCTGTCTTAAAAAAAAATGAGACTGTCTCAAAAAAAAAAAAACCATAATGTCTGTATCAAGAAGGAGAAAATATTTGCCAATTTCCTTTTCCTCAGGAAACATACACTATTAGCCAAACATGTTTGGCCATATTGTTCTTATTAGACCATATTTTTTCAGTTTTTCAGGTAGCAGTGACGAGTTTTTTCTAAGACAGCCAGGTTCTTATTATCCGTAATGGGCACGTGCATGCAGCTTGCACACTATAGTATTCAGTTGTGAAACAGAGGCAAAGTAACTGGCTGTTTTTTAGTCTTTTTTTTTTTTTGAGACAGAGTCGCACTTTGTCACCCTTAGTAGAGTGCCATGGCGTAATAGCTCACAGCAACCTCAAACTCTGGGGCTCAAGAGATTCTCTTGCCTCAGCCTCCCAAGTAGCTGGTACTATGGGCGCCCATCACAATGCCTGGCTATTTTGCAGTTTGGGGCCAGAGCTGGGTTTGAACCCGCCACCTCCGGTATATAGGGCTGGCGCCCTCTCCTTTGAGCCACTCATGCCCATCTATTTTTAGAGACTGGGTTTCACTCTGGCTGAAGCTGGTCTGGAACTCCTGAGCTCAGGCAGTCCACCCTAGGCCTCCCAGAGTGCTAGGATTATAGGTGTGAACTACTTTGCCTGGTCTAGAGACAAGGTCTAATCTTGCTCTTCCTTCCAGGCTGGAATATAGTGGTATAGTCATAGCTCACTGTATCATCCAAGTTCTGGGCTCAAGCAAGCCTCCTGCATTAGCCTCTCTGGTAGCTGGAAATACAGGTGTGCATCCCAACGTCTGACACTTATTTTTCTTAGTTTTTGAAAACATGGAGTCTCACTGTGTTGTCCAGCCTGGTCTGAAACTCCTGGCCTCAAGTGATCCTCCCATTTCAGTCTTGGTTGTCATTATCAGTATCTTTTTACATCAGTTCCAAAGGTGAAATCACCTGGGCAATGTCATAATAATTTGAACTACATACTGATTTTATAAGCAATTTCATATTATGCTCAAAATGGCAAATCTTAATTTTAAAATTACATCATGATGATTTTGCTTTCTATTTAGTTTGAGAGTTTGAGGTTTTACTATATGCTGATACTTTGGGGAATACAAAGATATATAGATATACTCTTTCCTTACAGTCTGAGATAAGTCTGTACACTTACCTTAAGTTCAACTTTAAGACCATTCAAGGAAAACTAAAGCCAGGCGGGGTGGCTCATGCCTATAATCCTAGCACTGTGGAAGTCTGAGGTAGGTGGATTGCTTGAGCTAGGGAGTTTGAGACCAGCCTGAGCAAGAGTGAGAGCCTGTCTCTACTAAAAATAAAACAGCTAGCCAGGTATTGTGGTGGGCACCTGTAGTCCCAGCTACTTGGGAGGCTGAGTTAAGAGGCTCACTTGAGCCCAAGAGTTTGAGGTTGCTATGAGCTATGATATCATGGCACTCAACCCCAGGGCAACAGAGTGAGAGTCTGTCCTCCCACCACCACCAAAAAAAGATTAAATATAAAATTAGTTCATACCTACTTCAAAACTGTTCTGTGTTCCATATGCCAACATTAGAGTATTTCCATAAAGCCAGTGTCTAAATTTTGAACATTTCTAAAATATGGGTTGTGCAAATTCACTAATCCCAACAGCTTAACTACACAGAACTTACATTATACATGAAAAGCACATGAAGCCACTAAGCCATTTTTCAGAGAACTATAGGGAGTACTATAGGGACATCCATTTCACCCAGTCACATTGTTTAGAGGTAAACAAAAGACATTGTTTTTTCCTCAATGTTTTTATTCTGAAATTTTTCAATAATGGCTTGGCAGCCGTAGCTCAATGAGTAGAGTGCCAGACACATACACCAAAGCTGGTAGGTTTGAGACCGGCCCAGGCCTGCTAAACAACAATGACAACTGCAACAAAAAAAAAATAGCCAGCCATTGTGTCAGCTGCCTATAGTCCCAGCTACTTGGAAGCCTGAGGCAAGAGAATTGCTTAAGCCCAAGAATTTGAGGTTGCTGTGAGCTGTGACACCACAACACTCTACCAAGGGTGACATAGTGAGACTGTCTTAAAATAAATAAATAAAATGAAATTTTTCAATCATACATAATGTTTAAAGGTTAGGTCAGTGAACACTATACAGCCTACACTTAGATTTGACAATTGTTAACATTTTTCTCTATCTGCCTTCTCTTTCCTACCTCTCTACACCTGTGTTATGTAAACCAATTTAAGAATAAAACTGTTCAAGACCAGCCTGGGCAACACAATGAGACCCTGTCTCTACAAAAAAGATTTTTTTTAAACTAGCCAGGCATGGTGGTGCATGCCTATAGTCCTATTTACTTCAGAGTCTGAGACAGAAGCGTCTCTAGAACTCAAGAAGTCAAGGTTACAGTAACCCATGAGCACATCACTGCACTCTACCAGCCTGGGTGAGAGAGTGACACTACCTATAAAGAAAAAAAGAAGGAAAAAAGAAAAAAAAATTATAAACACTGAATGGATTAAATAATCTAAATTTGGAGGGTTGGCAGGAGAAAGGTGAATTGGAATGGTCTGAGCCAGATCCCCAGGATTTGTCAGGGCATAATGTGCACATTAACGTGGCAACAAAATACTTGAGTGATTGAGACCTTTCAGTCTTGTCTTTCCTTTGGTAAATAACATCATATGAGTGAGAAGGGTGGAATTGTCAGGGCAGAAAAGCTACCTTCTTCACTACGGAGAAAGAAAGAAATTCAGCAAACATTCTCCCAGAGATGGTTGGAGAACCTAGGATGGTGTTGTCATAAAAGCCAAACAGTGGAACTATTTAAAAAGGAAGGTGGGCTCGGCACCTGTGGCTCAAGCGGCTAAGGTGCCAGCCACATACTCCTGAGCTGGTGGGTTCAAATCCAGCCCAGGCC